TCCTTCTCACACAGCGCAGCACAGCTCAGCACAGCTTAGCTCAGCACAGCACTGCTCAGCACAACTCAACACAGCTCAGCTCAGCTCAGAACGGTACAGCGCAGCACAGCTCAGCTCAGCTCAACACAGCACAGCACAGCTCAGCTCGGCACAGCACACCACAGCTCAGGTCGTCCAGGGCATGGCAAAAGTGGCACTTTCTCGACACCATGGGAGGTGCGCAAGGGGTGGTCCCTGAGCGCGGCCGCTATCCGAGACGGTCGTCCAGGGCATAGCAGGCGTGGCATTGTCCGACACCATAGGAGGTGCGCAGGGGGTGGTCCGTGAGCGCGGCCGCTATCCGAGACGGTCGTCCAGGGCATAGCAGGCGTGGCATTGTCCGGCACCATAGGAGGTGCGCAGGGGGTGGTCCGTGAGCGCGGCCGCTATCCGAGACGGTCGTCCAGGGCATAGCAGGCGTGGCATTGTCCGGCACCATAGGAGGTGCGCAAAGGGTGATCCCTGAGCGCGGCCACTATCCGAAACACTCGCCCAGGGCATAGCAAGCGTGGCATTTTCCTACACCATAGGAGGTGCGCAAGGGGTGGTCCTTGAGCGCGGCCGCTATCCGACACGGTCGTCCAAGGCATTGCAGGCGTGGCATGTTCCGACACCATAGGAGGTGCGCACGGGATGGTCCCTGAGCGCGGCCGCTATCCGAGACAGTCGTCCAGGGCGTAGCAGGCGTGGCATGTCCCGACATCATAGGAGGTGCTCCAGGGGTGGTCCCTGAGCGCGGCCGCTATCGGAGACGGTCGTCCAGCGCAAAGCAGGCGTGGCATTTTCCTACACTATGAGAGGTGCGCAGGGGGTGGTCCCTGAGCGCGGCCGCTATCCGAAACGGTCGTCCAGGGCATAGCAGGAGTGGCATTGTCCGACACCGTAGGAGGTGCGCAGGGGGTGGTCCCTGAGCGCGGCCGCTATCGGGGACGGTCGTCCATGGCGTAGCAGGCGTGGCATGTTCCGACATCATAGGAGGTGCTCCAGGGGTGGTCCCTGAGCGCGGCCGCTATCGGAGACGATCGTCGAGGGCATAGCAGGCGTGGCGTTGTCCGACACCATAGGAGGTGCGCAGTGGGTGGTCCCTGAGCGCGGCCGCTATCAGACACGGTTTCCCAGGGCATAGCAGGCGTGGCATTTTCCAACAACATAGGAGGTGCGCAAGGGGTGGTCCCTGAGCGCGGCCGCTATCCAAGACGGTCGTCCAGGGCATAGCAAGCGTGGCATTTTCCGACACCATAGGAGGTGCGCGAGGGGTGGTCCGTGAGCGCGGCCGCTATCCGACACGGTCGCCCAGGGCATAGCAGGCGTGGCATTTTCCGACACCATAGGAGGTGCGCAGGGTGTGGTCCCTGAGCGCGGCCGTTATCCGAGACGGTCGTCCAAGGCGTAGCAGGCGGGGCATGTTCCGACATCATGGGAGGTGCGCAGGGGGTGGTCCCTGAGCGCGGCCGCTATCGGAGACGGTCGTCCAGGGTACAGCAGGCGTGGCATTTTCCGACACCATAGGGGGTGCGCAAGGGGTGGTCCCTGAGCGCGGCCGCTATCCGAGACGGTCGTCCAGGGCATAGCAGGCGTGGCATTTTCCGACACCATAGGGGGTGCGCAGGGGGATGGTCCCTGCGCGCGGCCGCTATGCACGAAGGTCGTCCAGGGCATAGCAAGCGTGGCATTTTTCCCAAAAGCGTAGTGGGGTTGTGGTTTTCTTCCCTGCCTCGTCGCACCCGCGGCCCTCACACACCACCTTCCTCCTAACACTCCACCCTCCTCCTCCCTCCTTCTCCTTCTCACACAGCGCAGCACAGCACAGCTCAGCACAGCTTAGCTCAGCACAGCACAGCTGAGCACAGCATAGGACCTCTGCACAGCACAGCATGGTACCTCTCCTCTTGATTGGCGTCACCAACGGTTTCGCAGGGGCAACGGCCACCAACATCATTCTCACATGCTTCACATCAGCTATCATCACTCCAGCCATAATAGAAGTATGTGGGGTTCCTCGGTAGCGTAATTGAATAATCCTCCTGTAGAGGGACAGGCCCGACGTAACCCGAACAATCATCCCCCTCTTGGACGCCCCCGACCCAGAAGCGGGGCGAGGCCTGCCAGTAACCCTCGGATCGGGGGAGGTACCCTCCCCAAAATGCGGCCAGTGCCGCATTGTTCGGCGGAGGAGCTCCCCCATTTCCAATGGAAAAGGGACACGTCGCGACTCCACGCCCACTTGATCCATGTTTGCGATCGCCTGAGTGCCAAGCTGGGGCCTCTGGAATCTCCGATTTGAGCTCTCGCTTTTAGGAGGCCCTTACCGTCGACGAAGACCTGGCTCAAATGCTTTACGTACACAGTGGATGCCCAGTGGACAAGCAGCGACCCGCAAAGTCTGCCTGGCTCGAGACCCGACTTTACCCTGGTCATCGCCCCCCTCTTGGACCCCCCCGACCCAGAGGCGGGGCGGGGCCTGCCAGTAGCCGAGGCCCGGCAGGGCCACCGGCGCCCACGAGAGCGGCTCCTGCGGGGCGGGGTGCCCCCCCTCCCTCCCTCCTCCTCCTCCTCACCCTCCGCCTCCTCCTCCGCCTCCGCCGCGTCCCCCTCCTCCTCCTCCACCTCCTCCTCCTCCTCCTCCTCCTCCTCCTCCTCCTCCTCCTCCTCCTCACCCTCCTCCTCCTCCTCCTCCTCCACCGCGTCCCCTCCCCCTCCTCCTCCTCCTCTTCCTCCTCCTCCTCCTCCTCCTTCTCCTCCTCCTCCTCCTCCTCTTCCTCTCCTCCTCCTCCTCCTCCCCTCCTCTCCTCCACGTCCTCCTCCTTCCTCCTTCCTCCTCCACGTCCTCCTCCTCCTCCTCCTCCTTCTCCTCCTCCTCCTCCGCTGAGGGGAACCGATAAGGGGGGGGGCTCACGCTGCTGGGCGGGGTGGGGCCATCGGGCCCCTATCAGCGATCAGTGCGCGATTGGGGGTCGATGCATCCCCCCCTATGCCTATCCCCCCCTATCGTTGCCCCTGACTCTCTCCTTCTTGGACGCCCGAAATTGGTATGGAAAACTAGGTACAATGCCCAACAATAAGTGTTGTCCAAAACCGACACCGGCCGCTGTTGGGCAAGTGGCTTTTTGTCTTCAGTGAACAACGTCCGCGGCGGCGCGGACAACGAGCCCTGTTTAAAATAAACAACAACTGTTGTTGAGCATCGTACCCATTATTTCCGTACCCATTTCGATAATCCCGGTCCTTACTTACGCAGAGACCGACCGTCCCGGCATTCCTATGGGTCAACTCGGAATTTTTCTCGCAACCCCAACATGTTCCAAGAGCAAGAGCAATATTCTTAGAACATGAACCCGATGTGATAAAACAAGACAGTCTCAGCCAGGCATGTTCTAAGACAATTTCGTGAATACCACAGCAAGGTCCTAAACCACATCGGGGATCTACTGAAGCATTGTAAAATCCCGCAGGATCCTGCACCCAAACCCAGGTCAGTGCACCCCTGGCTTTGCAGGATCGTCCACACAGGTGGGGCAAATTCTGGGGAGCGTTCATGCCGAGTGACAGCACTATCCACAAGACCTTGGCTCATGCGACGCAAGCCGACGTGGACGGAGGCCGGACTACCCCCATGGAGAAACGAGCGAACGGTAAGGCCGACGAGCTCGCCAAAGCGGGGGCAGCATTGCATGGCGTCGCGGCTGCTGCTGCTCACCTCTGGGCTGGCCTGGCGGACATCGCGGTCGAGGTGGGCCGTTGGGTGGGTCAACTGCACAGCCATGTCGCCGACCAGGGACCGCCAGACCGGGAGGACGTCTTGGGCATGCATGCCGGGGAGGGATGCGCGGATGCGAGATGCTGGGGGAGCAGGGGATGCTGGGGTGAGCCTTTCAGCCAGTGATGCCGCAGAGGCGCGGCCTCACCGCTCCCCTCCTCCTCCTCCTCCTCCTCCTCCTCCTCCTCCTCCTCCTCCTCCTTTCGAGCTCTGCATTGAGTGGGCCCCAGCGTGGCGGGACTATGAGCCAGTCGCGTTTCGGGCCCGGGGCCATGCTTTGCTGAGTGCCGACATTCCGGGGAAAAGCGGAGTGCGGCTTATATTTTGTTACCGTTGTGGAGCCTATTTTGGGGGCCGGTCCCCAGGCAAATGCATGCTTTCAGATTGCAAGGGCTCGCGGAGCGGCCCGAAGCTGCGCGAGCAGTTGTCTAAGCTGACGACGGGTGACCATCCCCATTATCGCAAGACCACGCGGGGGCTGAGACTGGCGCCGCCGGATGGCGTGCCTACGGACGAACGCCTCCGTTTGCAAGCCGTCTTTTCGACTGCCGCCTCTCCAACGCCAACCTGTGCCCGCGCTGGCGAAGAACGCCCAGCGGCGCCAGCGCTGTCCTAGCGGGAGGTCGTGCTCCGCTCTTTCGGCATAGCTGAATCCGACCTGCCTGCGGTGCGCGTGCGCGGCCTGAGGGTAACCGCCAGGGCCCGCGCAGCAAGCGACTCCGGCTTCTCATCGGAAAGCGATGTGAAGACTGGGAGTGGTAGTGCTTCTAGCGGCGTGCCGCTGCCTTCTAGGCCGTTCCCAACCCAACCTGGCTCTGCAGGATCCTGCAAGATCCGGCGCTCTGGCTGACCCCCCGTCCCTTGAGCCCTGGCCTCACAGCCCAGCGCCCTCTCTGGCGACAGCAGGGAGCAGCTGGATCCTTCCTCCGCAGCGCCACTTGTCGAAGTGGCGCCATGGCTGGGACGAGCTGAGGCCTCCTGCTGCAGAGACCTCACGAAAACCAGACCGTCCAAATCCGCGTCCTTGACCGTCAAAAAGTGGCGGCGGCACCGAATTCTGGTAGGCTCGAGTCTCACCTTTCGCCGACCCGGCTGCTGGTGTCCTCTCTCCTGCAGCTCGCTGCGTCCCCGCCCCCTCGAGGCCCACCCCGAACCTCGAGGAAGACGAGCTAAAAGAGACGGGGGGAAGGCAGAGGCCAGCCATTGCTGCTGGCGTGGCGGACGCTGCCCAAGTTGGGGCCTTTGATGGGCCCGTTTTCCACCACCACCACCACCATAAATTGGAGGGGGAGGGGGTCCTCCTCCTCCTCCTCCTCCTCCTCCTCCTCCTCCTCCTCCTCCTCCTCCTCCTCCTCATCGTCCTCCACCTCCCTCCCCCCTCCAACTTATGGTGGTGGTGGAAAACAGGCCCATCAGCCTAGCCTGGCGGCGGGCGGAGTCTTCAGACCCTTACCGACCGCAGGCAAAAGGGCCGAGGAGGGCCAAGACTTGGACGGCCGAGATGGGTACAGACAAAATTGTACGATGCCCAACAACAAATGTTGCCCCAAACTGTCAGCGGCCCTGGTTGGGCAGGCGGCCTTCTGTTTCAGATGGACAACGTCCGCGGCGACACTAACAGCGCGCCCGGTTCAAGATGGGCAGGCAATCCCGTCGGTCTTTGTACAAGTTGTTCCGTATCCATTGACATGGTTTCGACTGGAGGGAAGACCACGGCCAGACATCGGCCGTGGACACCGAGCATAGAGCAAAACTCGCGGTGCAGCCAAAAAACCGTGAACTCGATGCGTGACACGCGCAAAAGATCGCCGTATGCCAAGTGACTTGGGCGACGCCCACGGGGCCTGGACGCAAGGCGGCAACGCACCACGGGCGGGTGGCTCGCAGGCCCCCACCTGGCGAGAGCTGCGCGTTCGGGGCGCCGCTATGCCATGACGCCCGCTTGCAAGGCCCAAGCCGTCTGTGAGCTCGCGCCCACGCAACGGAACGCGGTTCTGGAAAGGCGGGTGCTGTCCAGGACGTTCGAAGGACGTACTGTGGCCGATGACAAGGCATCAATCGATCGTTCCGACCTGTCTCACCGCGCCAGCATGCTCATCAGCGCTCCACCACGACCACCCTCTTAACCGTCATAAACGTCTTTGTGGTCGTCGCCGCCATGATCCCTCTTTCCCGCCCTGGCAGCTCCAGAGCGCGAGTGGGGTTGTGGCCGCCGAAGGCGATCTCGCTTGCCTCCAGGAGGGTCGGAAAGGGGGAGGGGAAGGGAATAGGCGAACGGGGAACTGACCGCGCCCTCCTTCTTCTCCGCACACACAATGTCACCCCCCGCTGGCACAAACCCAGGATGAAGAAAGTGCTGATCGATGATGGAATCCGAAGATAAGAGAGAAAGACAGGCATCCCATGGCAAGACAGTCAAGGATGCGGCACCAGCCTCGCCGTCGTCACCTCAGCGGGCAACCCCCCATGTATTGACGGGTCTGAATACATGTATGTATGTATCAATGTTTGATCGGCTTCTGTGCGGCCAGCGTGTTCCCATCGTGCATGCAAAGAGCATAATGAGGGTGCCAAGCGGTCATTCATTGTCCATGGGTGCGTGGCTGAAGTGGAGATCCGTGGTGAAGATTAGGTATGTTGCGTTGATGTTGTTGCTGGTGTTGATGTTGAGTACTCGTTCCCCAAAGATAATATCCGGAAACTGTACCGCGCGCTCTCGCCGTGGCGCCGGCTACATTCTCTGAAAACGAGGCTCCCGCTCGACCGTTGGCTTGAGCCTGAATATGGGCACTTGGAGGCCCAGCTACGACAACAACGGTTCCCGTTCGATATTTCCTCACACTTTACCCCGAGACACCCTGGCTGGAGAGGCCCCCGAACTCATGCACGGCGCTCTCGCTCGAGACTTCCTCGCAATTCCGTTAACTTGGCGGAGGCCCCGCCACGGTGACAAGGGCTCCTGCTCGATACTTCCTCACGATTAACTCCGAGAGCCCCTGGCCAAGAAGGCCCCCGAACTCAGGAACGGCGCTCTCGCGCGAGATTTTCCCGTAATTCAGGCAAGTTGGTGGAGGCCCGGACAGGGCGACAAGGGTTCTCGTTCGATATTTCTTTCCGAGAACCCCTGGCCAGAAAGGCCCCCGAACTCAGGAACGGCGCTCTCGCTCGAGACGTCTTCGCACTTCAGTCACTGGCCGACAAGGAAGGGATTACCCCGAAACGGGGCGCAATCGAAGCCGAAATGGGCGGGTATCGAGGGTTGGGGTATACGGAATGCAAGACACGCGCGACAATAAGAGCGAACAGTCTAAAAATGATTGTTGTTGCTGAATGTTAATTGCTAAGCAATTAGTATTGTTGGACCCCTTACTGGCGCCCTGGCGCTCTCGCCGAGGCGCCGGCTGCATTTTCATTGAAAACAAATCTCATTCTCAAGCGGTCCAGGGGGCCGCCAAAACCGCCCCCCCAACAACGACAACGCTCCCGTTTGATAGTTTTTCCTTTTTTACTCAGGGCGGGCGCTCTTGCTCGCCGCCGAAAGCAGCTGTCTCAACAAAACCAGCGCTCCCGCTCGAGACTCCCTCCCGTTTTACCTTGGACAGGCGCGCTACTATTTCTCTCGTCGGCGCCGCCCCCCAACAACAACAAGGCCCCCGCCCGAGACTTCCGCTCTTTTTTACTGAAGGCGGCGCTCTTGCTCGCCGCCGACAGCCCCCGTCCCGACAAAACTAGCGCTCCCGCCCGAGACTTCCTCCCGTTTGACTCAGGACTGGCGCCCTTTTCTGCTTCTCTTCCTCCTCGTCCTCTTCGCCCTCGTCCTCCTCGTCCTCCTCGTCCTCCTCGTCCTCATCCTCCTCCTCGTCCTCCTCCTCCTCCTCCTCCTCCTCCTCCTCCTCCTCCCTCCTCCTCCTCCTCCTCCTCCTCCTCCTCCTCCTCCTCCTCCTCGTCCTCGTCCTCGTCCTCGTCATCGTCCTCCTCCTCCTCCTCCTCCTCCTGCTCCTCCTCCTGCTCCTCCTGCTCCTCTTCCTGCTCCTCCTCCTGTTCCTGTTCCTGCTCCTGCTCCTGTTCCTGCTCCTGCTCCTGCTCCAACTCCTGCTCCAGCTCCTGCTCCTGCTGCTGCTGCTGCTGCTGCTGCTGTTCCTGCTCCTGCTCCGGCTCCTGCTCCTGTTCCGGCTCCGGCTCCTGTTCCTGTTCCTGCTCTTGATCCTGCTCCTGCTCCTGCTCCTTCTGCTGCTCTTGCTCCTGCTCCTGCTCCTGCTCCTGCTCCTGCTCCTGCTCCTGCTCCTGTTCCTGCTCCTGCTCCTGCTGCTCCTCCTCCTCCTGCTCCTGCTCCTGCTCCTGCTCCTGCTCCTGCTCCTGCTCCTGCTCCTGCTCCTCTTCCTCCTCCTCCTCCTCCTCCTCCTCCTCCTCCTCCTCCTCCTCCTCCTCTCCACAATTATCAATATGAATACTACTCTCCCTCTTCCCCTGATGACGTGCTGGGAGTGTTCGCCCCCCCCCCCCCCCCCGCGTCCTGCTTTTTTACGCACAGGATTCCCGGGAGTTGGGTGTTCGCCTGCATGTTTTTTTCAAAATGCTGCTCTCGCTGAGGCGCGGGCCTCATTTTCGGGCCCCGCTCGTTCCGAATCATGCTCCCGCTGCAGCGCTGGCCTCATTTCCGTGCTTCCGCTCGTTCCGAATCGTGCTCCCGCTGCAGCGCTGGCCGTATTTCCGCGCTTCCGCTCGTTTCGACTCGTGCTCCCGCTGCAGCGCTGGCGTCATCTTCCGTGCCATGCCACGGCATGCGATGCAATGCTAGGTTGATGCTACGCTTTGCGGTGCTTTTCTACGCCATGCCACGCCGTGCTCTACAATGCATCGCGTACCCTTTCGGGATCATTGCCCTGCTCGACATCCGACTGTGCGAGTAGAGAAGGGATCTGCGCCATGGTAAGGGATGGGAGGGAGGGGTAGGATGTCAGATATGACGCGATCGCACCTA